AGCGGCCCCAAAAGCCCGGAGCATTCAGACCCCCGTGGATCTCCGCGAGAACTCCTGAGCTGTGGATGAGCGGCCTGGAGTCTGGGGAGCGAGGGATGGGGGAGAAAGGTCCGGAAATGGGGAGAGGACGACGAGGAGAACCGCCCGGGCCCTTCGGTCTTCAATGGAGGGCAAGACGGTGCCTGGCACTTTCTGAGCCATTCTCCTGTTTCCCTGGGGCTTTTTGCCGAAAAGCTCTCTCCAGGCGGGTCCGCCGACTGGCCGTGAGGATGAGAGCCCTGGAGGCCTCTCAGCGGCCCCTGTCGCAGCGGCCCCCGGTGTCACAGTGGCCACGCTCCCAAAACAACGTCTACAGTGCCTGTCCTCGGCGCGATCGCGGGGCCCACGCCGCGGGTAAGCAGGGGTGGGTAAGCAGGGGTGGCGAGTGAGCCGGCTGGCGAGCGGGGGGGGGGGGGGAGGACGGGTGAGGGGGGGAGGTACGGGCGAAGGGGGTGCGGGTGACCGGTGGGGGGGCTAGTACGGGTAGCAGAAGGTGGGTTGGGGGAGTGGGGAGTGGGGCGGGTGAGTGGACCGTGGCGGGACCAATCCGTCAGTCCGGCGAGCGGGAGCAGCAGACGCAGCGCTCAGCGCGGGGAGGAAAGCCTGGAGCCGCCGGGCGGACCCCTCCCACCCTGGGTTTAGTGCAGGGCTGGACTGCGGCCCGACCCTCGGCCACGCCCTCATCCCGGCCTCCCTGACTCCCCTAGGTGAGCGCGGGGCTCCGGCTCCCCCAGACCCCGGAGCGTCCGCGCCCTCCGAGCCGTCCGCCCCGCTGCAGGTAAGCTCCGCCCCGGCCTAGACCAGCCGCAGGGGCCGGACCCCGCGGCCCTAGAGCTGGGCTAGGACCCAGAGAAGTTACTCCAGCCGCGCGTGGCTCCCGGGCGCCGGCTTTCCGCGCAGTTCCTAGGCGAAGTCTGGGGACCAGTGGTTATCAGTTTCCTCCTTCAAGGGCGTCAGTAGACTGGACTACCCAACAATGTGGTAGACTTAGTTACCTGGCTTTTAGCCAAGCATTTTTCCTGAGTGCTTGGTAGAGGCTGGTAGATGGTAGTTCTACAGTGCAGACGGACTTTTGTGTGGAAGAGACTCGATTTCTAGGAGGCCTTAAGGAGATAGAAGCTACACACTTTCACCCTAAGATGAGGGAGAACTTTCTATTACTCCCGAAGATGAGAGGAGTTGGTTTACCCGCCAATGGAGGCGCTTAAGCCTGGCCCAGAGGATGACCTGCCCAATGTCAAGATATAGAAGATTCAACACCTGGGGAGAGGAGGGTTCCTCTTGAAATTGAGGAATGGATATAGGGAACTCGTGTTTCTGTCGATGGCCATGGGTAGATGGGTAAAAAGCCTTTAGACTGTCCACTTATCTTTGTTTTCCTAAATTAAGATAAAAAAGATTTTATTTCCTAAAGTAGCCCACAGTAGCTAAAACACTATTTCCTTAGAAACCAAGAAAAACTAAGTGTGGCCAATGTCCCTTTCAAAATTAGTGTGTAGACTAAATTAATGCAACAGACCCTAAACCAGAGGGTTCACAAGATGGAAGCTGTTTCCTCCCAAGTAAAGGTAGAGGAGGGGGCAGAAAGAAGTGGCCTGAGCCAGGAGGTCATCCAGGGACTAACGTACCTTCTGTCTTATTGCTCCACCATCCTCTGGAGTCTTGTCTGGTCCATGGTCAATGCTCAATAGTCACATCCAGCCCACTGAGAGAGAAAAAGAAAGCTGCTTCTTTAAGACTGGACCCTGAAGCTTCCCGCGTGGCTTCCTCTCGCATCCCATTGGCGGAGAGTTGTAGTCCCTGACTGGGCAATCTTGTGCCTTGCTAAAACGGGGAGCCTGATGCCCAGCAACAAGTGACTGCTCTCCCCACAGTCCTTTCCAGCTTCTTGAGTTTGCTGTCCCTCACCCCTGCTAAAGAGGGTTTGCAGTAGCATAGGCAGGTCCAGCAGTGCCCATCTATTCTACCCACTCTCCCCTTACACATGCCCTTTGTCCTGAACTGCTCTGTGACCACACGTGCCCTCACCTGGGACTATAGCTTGCTCAAGTTTTACCCTTCCGCCTTACTTGAAATTCTTATTCTCACTACTGGGGACGAAAATGTCAATGGAACAAGTTCACAAGGTGCATATGATTAATGACTGAATATTTTAACTTTCACAAGGAATATTTTAATTTTTTAAGTCAAATAAATTAATCTCAACTGGCAAACTACAACAGGCAATGGGAGATAAGTACAAAAACTAACAGGTCCTTTCAATGAGTTGCTGAATACCTACTGTGTTCGGGGGCTGGGCTTCTGGTTCTCAGCCCTTGTGTTTAAACATGTGACCCATCACCACTGCAGCCTTCTTGGCTGGATGTTACCATAACTGCAGCATGTTGGGGTCATGGCTCAGCCCTGTACCCTGAGAACTGACCTGTTCTGAAGGCAGATGATGCTGAAGTTTCTGTCTGGGGAAAAAGAGCACCATTGTGCCCACGTGTCCCGCTGCCTGACTTTCCTTCTCCACCCAGCCCCTTTCTGGAATACACTGTCATGCCACATCACTGCCTCTCCAAGCCCTTACAGAGGTGCTGGGGGTGACTCACCCCACTTCCGAATAACTCCCTAAGAAGGTGTATATTTATTCCACAAATCACATCATCCAATCCCAGAGAGGAAACTCCTCTGGCAGCTGGGTTTCCTTCAGACTGGTGCTTAGCCATGTGACTTTAGTCTGAACCCCATTTAAGGCATTTCCTGCCCACATTTGAAGTGAGTGTTTTCCAGTTATCTCAGGTGAGATGGCACCCTGAAAATCCCCAGGGCGGAGACACCTGATGGAGCTCAGCCACCTCTGTGTCTTTGCCCTCTGGAAGTCAGCAGCCGTAAACATGCCTACCATTGCTAGTTATGGGAACCCGCCTGAATACTAAAATCTCCCTACCCAGATCCAGTGATGCCTCTTTGGTTGTTCCCAGGTGTCCGAAGCTCCCTGGCCTCATGTGCCATCTCTGAAGACCAGCTGTGAATATATAAGCATCTACTATCAACCTGCTGCCAAGGTGGAGGACACTGATTCGGATGACTACGTCAATATCTCCTGCCTGACTCACCCCTCCAGCTGTCCTCCTGGGCCCAAACTTTGATGCCAATGAGTCTTGTCCATCTGCTGGTTTCCAACACCAGCTCCATCTGTTTTCAGAGCCCTCTTACCTCCCACATCCCACCTTGAGTCTCTCCCTGTCGAATCACCCTAAGCATAGCTCAGTCCCCACAGCTCTTCTTGAACATTTTTGCAAAACTCCCATGGCTTTCAGGTGGGCTCTGGCCAGGCAGAGCATTTGTTCTGATGTCACCTGATCCCCCTTCAAGTCATGTAACAGGCTATGGGATTTGCAGACTATCTTTGATCAGAAGGTTTTTGCTGCCTTGGCTCTAGGGTGTGGCATTAGGCTGGAGCATGGGCATAGCTGTTGCTTCTGGAACTTTTGCCAGGCCTGGGCCTCATACCAATAGAAGGCCCCTGGACTGCACCATGAGGGTATGCCTCAGCCCTTGAGCTAGGAAGGGATCTGGCATGAAAGAAACACCCCTGGCAACATCTTTGCCCTGATCTTAAGGGTGGCACTTACTAGTGAACTTTACTCATCTTGTGTCCTATTGTAAGGGCAATTTGTTTTGATGTGATGAAGGATTCTAAATTTTCAGAACCATATATATCTCTCTATATCTATAAATCCTCTTTAAGCCTCCCTTCCTTGATACTCATAAGGATCCTGACTCTGGCATTGCCTTTCTTTTAAAAACAGTTTTTGTCTCCTCTTTACCCTTCCATTCCCCAGCACTGCTATTTGTGCTCGTATCTTAATCATCTTAGCAATGAGTATTACATCTCTCTGCTTTCAGAAATGCACCTTATCTCTTTGGGGAAGGAAAGTGGCTTGGATTCCCAGGAGGTCCAGATGCTCTGAAATAGCACTATATCATGGAGGAAGAAGCATCCCACCTCCTCCATATACTCTTGCACTTAAATTTTCTGAGCAAGGGCATAGGCAGACATTGTATCTTTAGACTGAAGTCAACTACGAAACTCAGCCAGAGCCTGAGACTAGAGAATGCCCAGTCTTGCGGTTAGGAAGATGGTCTCTCCCAGACACAACACTCAGCCTCACTGAGCCAGAAATAGAAAGGAACGGCTGCCAAACTTGAGCTCCCTGCCTTTCATTAGCAGGGAATGTCATCACAGTTTGGAGAGTCCATCCATGTATAATGACACCATCAGCAATGTCAGCTTGACCCTGGCACCCTCTCAAGTGGCCGATAAGGGAAGAATAAGTAAGATTAGAAAGGAGGCACCCAAGGAGAAGGGATGGTCGGGAGTATGGGCAAGAACTGTAAGGTTTAATGAGCCTGCTTTGTGTTGGGCACTTAACACATTATATCTTTTATCGTTTATATTTCCAACTGGTGTCCTCACCCCCACCCCACTGCTCTGTTCCTAGAGATGTCATGGCAATGTGATTTCCATGCCCAAACATTCAACTTTGTATCCAGCATCCCTCGTTGTTCCTCAACAATTCAAAGATGGCAAAAGAAATCCAGTTTATTAAGCATTTACTGAGCCCCACATGGTTCCAAGGATCATGGAGGATAAAAGAGAAGCACGGGGCATTGTTTCTGGTGTCTTCACAATACTTAGTCTCACAAATAAATATAACATAAGTTAAAACACTGACAGGAATTAAATAGACTTGTAATAAATACAGAAATCTTCTTCGTAGATTATTCGCAGCATCCAAGGAAACCTTCCATGACTGTTGTTGGGGCCACTTAAAGAATGAAGTCTCTGAGGATAAGCCTGGACCAAGAAGGGGACCTGTGGTCAAGGGTGTGAAGTGCCCAGAAAACATCACAGGAAGGGACACTCTTTTGAAATGACATGGAGAACAAGGAGAGTATTCTGGTCCAGGCATCTAGAGCTGGTAGAACTTTTGCATCCAGGTCAGAAGAATGTCCACTTCTCCAAAGGCTTTGGTCTGAGCTGCTTCTATGTCCAGCTAAGGGAAGAGTTGAAAATCTGCCATGTTAGCTACAACAATAAGTTTTCTTCCAACCCACCACTCCTAGAGCTGGCTGGTTCCACATCACAGGATTGCTTCTGATGGAGTCAGCTTCAGCCACACATCACTTGTCCCCCACTATGTGTGCTGTCTGCTTTGGGGTTGAGGACAGTTGGCCAGTGGGGGCAGCAGGTCAAAAGCAAGGGAAAAGCATTTGGAGCCCTGGCAAGAGCCATAGAATCCCAGTGCAGATGGATCTGGTCCCCCTCCTGACTACTGTGCAGATGAGGATACTAAAGCCTGGGTGGTCCATGTCCTTTGTGTGTTATTACTCTTTATTTATTTTTAGGCTGACATATCTGTTTCTTAAAAAAGTGATCAAAACCATATATGTTTTGGGGGCTGGGATGAAATTTGGATTTTCTCTGTTGTCTTAATTTGGGAAAAGGTCATATATTTTCTCATGATATTTTCTTCTTACAAACTAGACCATTTGAGCATTGTGGACAATACCATGCATGGGGATGTGTATTGGAAATTATGGGGGGCAGGGGTTACAATGGTAGTCTCCCTTCTTTCTCCCTCATTTCTGACTCTAATTGCCCAGCTAAAGTACCCATAAGCCCTCTCACAGGAAGAATCCGCAGTTGTGAAATCAGACTGGAGGGAAATATAGTAGGATTTTAATTTGAAAACTGGCAGGAAAATATAGTAGGTAATTTATGGTGCTTAAGCAAAGTAAATGCTAATTCATGTAAATATTCCTGTGCTCCTGCTAAATCAGGTGGCTTTGGGCAAGCCCAGTGGAATCACCTGCATTGCATTCTGCATTTGGTCTCTGAGGCACCCTTCTGTGATAGTTCAAGCAAGCCCTGGACTCCTGGCCTTGATTACCTGTTTAAATGCTCCCTGGAACAGCAGGAACCGCCTGCGTGCACTCTCACTAGTGGAAAACTTCTCCTGCTGGATAACAGAAAAAAAGTTGTGCCAAGTGTTGGGTAGGAGCAAAGAAAAGCTCCCTCCCACTCCTTCCTAGTGATGGCAGAGGTTCCCAAGGCCAAGGAGGAAAGCACCAAATCCACATCCTCAAGGAGCCAATGCAGAACACCTGCCATGTGGCAGGGCCGCCTCTAGTTCCCACAGCAGTCTGGCCAGGTGAGGGTGATCATTCCATTCTATAGGTAAGAAAACTGAAGGCCAGAAAGGTTGAGCACCTTGCAAAGGGTTAACCAGCTGGTTAGAAGCAGAACTAGACTTCAACCCAGGACTGTTGGTGTCCAAAGCCTATGCTCTTTTCCCGATTGTGGAATAAAAGCCAGGACGAGATTCCTTTGGAGAGGAAGAGGAGTCCTCTCCAAACACCATTTTCCATGGGCCCCCATCCTAGCTTTGCTCTACTCACACTGGGTTGCAGTTTTGACAGGATGACAATAAAATTGTTGGCCAGAGTAGAGAATGACTTCTGGATCCTGAATTCAGCTGCCTTCTTATGATAGTTTTTGAAAACGGTATTCAAGTAGAAGTTCAGCAAGGCACGGATGAGGTAACAGCTCTCAGCATCCTGGAGAAGGTCTAGGTCATGGTGGAGCCAAGGCCTCTACCCACCCCAGCCCTGGATAAACAACCCATGTGTTGCCAAGGCAAGGTAAGCACAAAAGAGGCAGGAATCTTCTAGGAGCTACTGATAACATTAGATCTGAAAGGGCCTTCGGAGTGGCGCCTTTCAGAGAGTGGCACCTTTGGTTTCCAGGAGAAACCACAGACCCAGAGAGAAGGATTTCCCCAAGGTCCCACAGCTAGTCAGTGGCAGACACAGGCCTAGTTCCCAGGATGTCTGACTCCCCATCTGCTTAAAACTTTTTTCTCTGCCCTATGACCTCCCTAATAGCCCTGTGAAGTGATAGACCCATGAGGTGATAGGCCCTGAAAAGCACCTGGAACTTGGTGGTTGTGAGTCGGCAGGAAAAGGAACTGGAAGGAGAAGAAAGGAGGAGAAGAAGAAAACACCCCAGCATCCTTGGACACAGGGATTGCTCTCCAACCCCCTCGAGCACACAGAGTAAAGACTACAGGGATCAGGGAAGTACAAGTGTGCTCACTGACTGACCAGGTCGGTGATGAGAAGACAGGAATGGGTGAGGAAAAAAAGGATGGAAACAAACAAAAAAAGACCTAAGCAGATGCAAAAGAGAAAGATTGATGGCAATTCTTTTGATATCAATCATGGAGACAGTTGTGTAGGAGCCTTGATCTCCACTCACTCCCCATGCCATCACACACATGCCCACATAACCCAGGTCCTGGGTGATGACCTCATGCATTAACTTCTCTGGCCCACTGCCCAGCCTTGTCCTGGTTAGGCCCAGTCTGGGGCAGAAGTGAAGTCTTCTGTCAGCTTCTCTAGACAACCCCTTACTCCCACCTCCAGAAGACAAGCCATAGTCTTTCCCCAAGGAAATCTGATTACCGAGATGTTCTGCAGAACCTCTTTCCGCAGCAGCCGGACACTCTTGATCTTATCCTGAGATTGCTTTGGGAACAGAAGGAAGAGTTGTCTCCAGGTTAGGGGTTGGGGGCAGCATAGAAACCAACCTTGGAAATACATTTAGGGGCTGCTTCCCCAGGCCTCTAAATCTCTGTATGTGAGATCTCAGAGCCCCAGGAAAGGCTGGACTGAGCTGGCCCCTCGGGTGGAGAAATGGGTTTCAGCCACAGAAAATCACCAAACTTGTCCCCCAGGGACAGATGGAATTCCAGGAGTTCTTAGAGCCTTTATCAAGGACCTGTTTGATTCCTTTGGTCATTTGAGACAGGAGGAAATAACACTTTGGTTTAAGGGCCTCCAGAGGCAGGTTTTTACCTCTTATTCCATGAGAGTTAAGGCGTGCTTCTTTTCTCTGGAGAGGAAGCTTCTCTGGAGCTTCCCCTGCAGCCCAGTAACTCATTCATTTCAGTTCATGGATGTAAGTCATTGAGAGAAAGGAGCTTTTGAGCTCCTCTGTCCTACCTACCTCCTCATTGTGCAAATAAGGAAACTGATGGGACTGGGCTGTTGTATGGGTTGGTTTCAAGGTCAACATCATACATAAGTTTCCTGTTCCCAGTGCAGTACTCTCCCCTCCCCAGGCTGCCCCATCGAGCTCCCACTTCTGGCTTGCATCTGGTTTATCCTTTAAGAAGTTTAGTGCATTTGTGAGGGTACATATTACAGCACTTTCAGGCATAGGAGAAATCCACAGTCACATTACACAAGCTGCCCTATCCCATCTCAGCATTAACCATTCTTTCTACCGTTAGCCAAGGCATAAGCACACAACAGACTAGCAGGATCCTGGCTAAAGAGCAGGTGAAAATTCCAGTAGGTGGGACTCAAAGGACTTCTCATGACTTTTCATTGATGAAGTCTCATGTCTCCCTGGGATGCAGATAAAGCCTGGATGAATAGGCTCCATTCTTTATTCCTCCTGGTTTATGCTTATTTTCCTATAGATTGACTACCTCTTTCTGAGCCTCAGTTTCCTCATGTACAAGAGGAAATGTGGCTTGTGATGCCTCTAACTTTATAAAGTTATTCTGTAGGAAAATAATTAGCATGATACAAAGAGCTCCATAATCATAAAATATTATCCTCCCCCACACAGTAACCCCCACAGCTGTGTCCAGAATGACACTTCACTCACCACAATGTCCTTCATGGCCCGGAAGGCTTCCCACAGTTCCTGGAAAACTACTCCCTCCACTTGGCAGGTCCCAAATCGGAATTCTTGGCCTTGGACCCCTGGACCCTGGCTCCAGATAAGCAGGATGAGACTCAGGCAGGGGAGGGCAGCCTTGTGCATTGGGGCGCCCATCCACGGCAAAGGAAGGACCAGGAGGATCCTGCTGGAAGAAAGGGAGGCAGCCCACTGAGGCAGGTCCTCTGGCCCAGGAGTGGTATACACAGAAATAATGCTGCTTGATCTGCCTCAGGCAGCCTTGGACCCACAGACAGGAAATATGAGACGACTGTGGTTTCTGAGTTAGAACATTGCAAACATATGGTGCACTGGGGGTGGGAGGGCAGAGACTTTCTGCCCTCATCTCCTACCTGCTGGTCTCACTATCTCACTATGTACCTACTCCAAAATGCCCACCCACATCACATACACTCAGCACCTCCTTCTTTACCCCATACAGTTCTCTCTAGCTAACAACATGCTGGTCAGAATTTGATCAAGAAGAATGAAGAAATGTGTGGGGGAGGTAGGTATTACAATGTGCCAAAGAACATGTATTGGGAGCCCAAACTCGAGAGGATAGAGCTTAACTAAGTGTTTGCTTGTCTGAGTTCTGCCCTTCAGGCAACAGGAACACCTGGGCAGGTGTTTTTCTCATCCCAGGCCATCTCTGACTCCTCATCATGAGGTATCTGAGGGATATGAGGTATCTCAGAGGTATCTGAGGGATTAATCCTCACTCTGCCACCTCAACTGACGACTCATTTTTAACCCGAAGAATTAGCTTTTCAGGTAACTGAAGAAGAGGGAGGAATCACACTTCTGGATGAATCACCTTAAAACCTTTCACTCTATTTCCAGTTGGGAATGACTGTGTGAAGAGGCCCCAAGCTAGAGGAAGATGATCCATTATCTATCCATCATAACTGCATGCAGAGCATTCCTCCTCCCTGCCTTCTTTGATTTTTGTTTTTCTTCTTCCTTTCCTCCCTCCCTTTCTCTCTCTCTCTCTCTCTCTCTCTCTCTCTTTTTACTTCCTTCCACAACCATTGAAGAATCTTTCATATTCAAGGCACTGGTTTCACACCTGAAGACACTCAGCCTTCCACCCAACGCTGGGCAGGCAGATGAGAGAAGACCTGTCTCCAGCATGACTGCCAATATTCAGGCAGTCATCTCTCAGTGGGGTCAAAGTCCAGTATCCTCTGTCATGCAAGTCTGAGCTTCAGCAGCTCCCTCAAGGTCTTCCCATTCTGTTCTTTCAAACTCCACAGGCTTCGAAGCCTCTCTTGAAAATTCATGTCTGGGCCTCATAATTCTCCAGCTCTTCCTCCCATCCAGCCTAAATTCTTCTTAGTGTTAAATCAGAGAGAGAGGCTCCTCATCCACAGTTGTAACTTATCCTTACATACACACTGAAAAGTTGACTTCTGCCATTCCCAATGAGGCAGAAGTCTGCTGCTTCAAAGCAAAGTACTCAGGAATTGCCGCATCACTCACCTCGGGTCTGGAAGCAATGCTTGAGGTCTGCTGTTTAGAGGAGGCTGGCTCCTGCTACAGAGGGGAAGTTGGGCAGGCACCCTCCCTACTCACCAATCAGGAGTATAACTGTGGATGGAAGGTTCCTATCCCAGCTGTGCAAGTTTTTCAAAAGTAAAGGTGTACAGGCCAGCATGGGTTTGTGGAGGTTCATATATATGGGCCTGGGGGAGGGGCAGAGAAGAGGGAGGTGGAGAAAGGGAAATTGGTCATGCTTTCCTAAAGAATTACTTCATTGCCGACTCACTCTTCACTTTAAGACAATGGGCCATGGAGAAAGCCACCCCTGAGGTGAGATGAGACCTGGGTCTGAGTTCTAATTCTGCCACTGTCCGTATGACCAGGGGCAAGTCTCCTAGGTACCTTGAACCTCAGTTTCTTTATCTATAAAATTAAAGCTGGAAAGAGAGAGAGAGGGGGAGAGAGAGAGAGGAAGGAAGGAAGGAAGGAAGGAAGGAAGGAAGGAAGGAAGGAAGGAAGGAAGGAAGGAAGGAAGGAAAGAGAAAGAAAGAAGAGAAGAGAAAGGAGAGAGAGGGAGGGAGGGAGGAAGGAAAGAAAGAAGGAAGGAAAAGGAAGGGAAGGGAAGAAAAAGAAAAGAAAAGAGAAAAGAAAAGAAACAAAAGAAACTGTCCTCCCTCACCCAGAGGCTGGTGTAAGGAACAAACAACACAGAGGTGCTTTGTCAATTCTAGACACATGTTCATACATTATTGCCATACAGAGTACACCCATCTCCTTACTGCCCAAACCATTCAATAATTATGCCTGTAATGATGAAACAGTAACCCAAAGGCTAAGGATAGGGCATGAGCACTTCTTTAGTCAGTCAGAGACAGGAATTTTAAGAGTATTTCCTGACATGCAGCCACCCAGGGTTCTAAACCCTCAACCAAAACATGCTCCCCCTTAGGCTCATACATGTGCATAACCAGGTCTGAAGCTGGGGAGCTGGTGTCCTGTGGGATAGCCTCAGCCTGCACAGTGCTGCCTGGTCTCACCCAAAGGGTGCAGCAGTGTGGCTTTTGGGGAGCATCAATGCAGTCATGAGACCTGACCAAGACCTGGCTGGATGCCCAGCTGGCAAGGCACTCAGGCTTTAGCTGCCCACATGTTAAATGAGGGGTGGCCTGCAGCCTTGTTCTCAAGCATATTCCACGGACCTAGTCCTGAGGAATGCTTGTCTATAACACACTCCATGAAACAAGACACTCGTTGTCAGTGCATTAGAGAAGCCTGGCCTGTGCCAGCCCTGCTGGGAACTGTATGCCGGCCCTGAGAACACTAAAGACTCTGACAAGTCCTGTGAGGGAGGGGCGGGACGTGTGTTTAGCTTTGTTTAACCCAGCACTTCCCATGAGTATTTGATCACATCCCATAGAAACTTTTGGGGAAACGCTAGACTTGAATTAGGGGTTGGCAAATTCAGGTCAAGAATAAGCTAAGAGTGGCTTAGCCCTATGACCTAAGAATGGTTTTTACATTTTTTAATAATTTAAAAAATCAAAGGAACGATATTGTTTTTTGCTAATCCTTACCCAAGGATATGTTTATTGATTTTAAAAGAGGGGAAGGCAGAGAGAAACATCAATGTGAGAGAGAAACATTGATCGGTTGCCTCCTGTACAGGCCCCAACCTGTGCAATCAAACCCACAGCCCAGGTATGTGCCCTGATGGGAAATCAAGCCCACAGCCTTTGGTGTAGGGCACAACGCTCCAACTAACTGAGCAACCCAGCCAGGACAAGAACGGTGTTCTGTAAAACATGAAAACTTTGTGTAATTCACATTTCGGTGTCCATAAATAAAGTTCATTGGAACACAAACATGCCCATTTGTTCACATATTGTCTACGCTGCTTTTGTGCTTCAATGGCAAAGATGAATAGTTGTGGCTGAGACTATGTGGCCCACGAAGCCTAAAATATCTACTCTCTGGCCCTTCACAGGAGAGGTTGCTGAGCCCTGCACAAACATTCTAAGAGTTTCCTAAAGCCTGGGTCTAGGAGTAGGATGTGCTATGAAGACAACGTTCTCCAGTTCAGTGCAGACGGCAGACACTGGGAGGAACAGCCCTTCCCAATCTCTTCAGTTGGTACCAGTACCCCCTCCCTCCGTCACACACACACGCTCACAATGTTGTTTCCTTAAGCAGACAGTCTACAACCCTGGGCTGCCTGCTGCCGCTGCCACTGCCACTGCCTCTGCAAGGACCAAGCTTGAGTCTTTAGCTCCAGGAGGATCTGAGTTTTGCCCTCTAGTCACAGGTAAGACCCCACATCATACGCTTTTTTCCCTTCAGGATTGAAGGCATTACTAAAAATCTATAACTTCCATGGGAAGAAGATGCCAAGAGGCATAGATAAGGCAGAAATGAAGACTAAGTCAGATTCCTGGGGCAACAGATGAAGGAGAGGCAGGAGAGGGCAGGAAAGACTAGACAGTGAGGGCAGGAAGCAGAGAGAGAATTCAAGCCCCCAGGGCAAATGCAATCCTAGAGGAATGCCTGCTGATAGGCAAGAGGGATGAGCTGTTAGAAGAACAGGCTGGAACAGAGCTGTGAGGTCCTGGAGAGGCTCCAGGGGATCCACCTGGGGTCATGAGTAGCTCATTCTGTCTAAGGAAGGATTAATAAAATATGGACTTTCCAGGCAGACACGTGCCTGAGTCTCAGGCTCCGCTGAGCTTATCATAGCACAATTACCTGGGAAAGGAGGCTAAGGAGAGGCCTCAGTGACCCTGGCCCAACATCAACTGTGACTGTTGGTTATGAGGACGAGCCTCGCATGCTGGCAGACCTGGATTCAAAATGCTACTGAGCTACTTACGAGCTCTCTGAGCCTCAGCTTCCACATCTGTAAAATCGAGTCCTCACCGTGCCACAAGGACACAATGGCATAGATCCTTGCTAGGCAAAGAGTGGTCCGAGCACCAGCAGCAACAGCAATGCCTGGGAGCTTATGAGGAACACAGAATCTCAAACCCTTCCTCAAAGCTACTAAACTGATGTGGGTTTTAAGAAACTCTCCAGGGATAAATGCTAACAGAAAGAGTACAATAAAAAAAAAACACCTATTTTTTAAAAAGGAAAAGAAAAGAAACTCCCTAGGTTATTCCTATGTGTACTAAAATTTGAGAAACATCTACATAAAACAAATGAAGGATTTAACCCAATGTCCTCTACGTGGTAAGTGCTTAACAAAGGAGAGTTTCAAGTGGAAGGTAAAAGAACTAGAGCAGTGATCCTCAATGAGGAATTCCCAGGGGAATTTTGACAATGCCTGGAGATGTATTTGGCTATCATAATATATTGTGAAAGGGGTGGGGTGGAGTGGGGTGGAGGTGCTCCTGATGTGTAGTAGAATGGGCCAAGAATGCTGCTAAACAGTGCACGGGATGGCCCTCACCACCAAGAATTATGTGACCCCAAATGTCAATAGTGTTGAAGCTAAGAAACCCTGGACTAGAGGAAAGTAGTGGCTGTGGGGAAAAGAGCTGAAATAGGAACAGAAAAAGGATAAGGAAGGAGCAGTGGACTGATGAGATGGTCAGGGGGAAACAAGATGCCAACCCGGAAGGTAGAGCCCAAATGCTCCTCGGTGGGAGTGGACGGGTGAGTCCGGCCTCTGGCTCACCCCCAGGCAAGCTCCGAGTCTAGGCTTTGAGAGGCTGGAGGAAATGAGGACAGTCCTTTTGTCCAGATCCATATATTTTTACACAGACTTCATCCTGGACTAGACTAAAACCTGAGGCTCTTCTAATCTCCCTAATCTTTGTGGTCTCTGGAACTTGGGAAATTTTCTTTACAAAAATATTGGGTGAGAGAAAGTTGCTCTTAGGGTAAATTTTTCTTTACAAGGCCACTTTCTTTTCCAAAATGCACCTTATTAGACTTAGGGCTTTTATTCTGATAATCTCATGCCACCTCTGTCGTGTGTATCTATCTGCAGAGCTGGATCTTTGCATTTGAGAAGGGAATCTACTCTCACCCCACATCCTCTACAGACTCCCCTAAGCCTATAGAGAAAAAAGAACCTACACAATGGAGAAGGCTCCCTCTCCACTTCCAGGGGGTGCTCACTCTTGCATCTGATTGATGGGAATGCCTTGCAGGAGAGTGATCCGCTTATTAATTAGGATTTCCTGAGAGTCAATAGATAAAAGAAAATTACATCATCAATTTCTCCCATTGAGTTGACTTTGCTTTTCACTCTAAAAAGATTTTTATCTTCCTGTTGGCTAGGAAAGTCATACAGTAATAGATGTGGGGTACCTGGGCATTTGGTTAACCCTTTCCCCTGTGTTAGCTGCCACTATGCCAGGAGCAGAGATGAGAGGTGATGTCCACTGGTTGGCCCCTTAGACTCACATGCTGCCATTCCTCTTTCTCCTCTGTCATTGGCCCATTAAATGATTTACTACAGATATTTCAAAGGATGAAAGTAAAACCAAACACAAATTATTCTTACATCTCTACAGCATGCTCAAGTATATGAAACACTTCTCAGTGAATTTTCCCACTTGATATTCACCATAACCCTTTCAGATATTATTTCTTTGTCTATTAGGAAGCAGAGAGTCAGAAAAGTCTGATAATTTTTCCTAGGTCACATAAATAAATGATAGAATCAGAACTAGAGTACAGGTTTTTTGGTTTTTAGCATACTATTCTTTTCCCTGTGCAACTTTTCAATCTTGCATCCATTTATTTATTTACTGAGCAAATATTTGCTAAGCACACTCTGAGTGTCAGAAGAGGCTATGAA